ATATAATCAAAGTACTTCTATATGCAAGTACACCTACATAAACCATTATGCTAAGTGTATTTTAATATTAATATATATGTATATAATATTAAAATACACTTAGAATGATGTTAATTTTATATATATATGCCGGAGGCATCAGCCCTATGGAGTTGGGGGCCTGTGCTTATATAGCTGGGTAACCTCTCCCACAACTTCGGGCTCCGCCTTCCAATTTGTAGTCGGGGACAATAAGCCAAACTTATAATAGGTTAGATATATGAACAAGTCGGTTGTGATGTGCCGAAACCGGCGTATCGGGTAGGCCTGTAATAAAAGAAGGCAAAAAGGTTGAATGAAAATTCACTTTATTATACAACTTTACATAGGAAGAAACTTAAAGGTTTGTCTTAATTCTAGCTCTGGTTGTGGTATGTATGTGGAATACACTGCGGATTTCCATCGTCCTAATCTTTTGATGATGTGAGCTGGAATGTTTTATCTTGATGCGGCGGAGGCTGCCCCTATTCTGAATGAGTGTTCTGTAATGGTATTTGGGTTAAGACCCAACCTAGTTAAGAGAGTTCTGATGTAAGAGATGAACTTGGCTGTAGTGAGTAGTTTTCCCTGTACAGTGAATAGGGCCTTGTTCGGATTTATATCAATGAGTGATGCTACATACTGGTCTATTATTACCACCGGGCACCACTTGTTGGCCGTGGGATAGTAATTTATTTTGGTAGTTGGTCCTGATTGGTTTGTTTTAGTGTGAGTAATGGTGAGAATGTAATGGTCTGAATGTTTGTTTAGGTCAGAAATTCTCAGATATTTTTTGAAGGATGTGATGTTGTCAGCTGTGAATTAGTTGGGCCATAGGAACCCATAAAATGTGAGGTAAACTGCAGTTTTGATGGTGAGATTTGTTTCTGGTTCGAAGGGGTTGGTGTCTAATATGTCGGATAGTGCTCGGAATATGGGACCGTCTATAGGTTGTCTTTTAGTTGTAGTGGGGTTGTCTAGACGCTGTATGCCTCTGAGCATATTCTTCACTGGGTAGGAGGACATGAATGGTTTGATGCTAGGATAGGCACTTAATATATGGTGTTGTATACCCGTGATGTAGAGTTTTATGGTGTTTAGGCAGGGCATTTTAGCCGCGAGGCAAACAAGGCATTTGAATTGGGCGGCATTTTCCAGGGGGCGGAAAACCCCGCCCCCCCAAATGCCCATGGCAAATGCCTTGTTAACCTCACGGCTAACTGACATACTGGGCTGGGCGGGCAGGCGGCTGGCAAGGGAGCACTTCCTCTGAGCTGTCTGCTCAGCTCCCTCGCGCGCCGCAGAGTGAGTGTGAGAGCCGGAATATGACGTCATATTCCGGCTCCCAGCCTCACTCTGCAGGTGGCGCGCGAGGGAGCTGAGCAGACCGCTCAGAGGAAGTGCTCCCTCGCCAGCCACCTGCCCAGCAGCCAGCCCATCAGCCCGACCGGCAGCCACTGAACCCCCAGGGAGACAGAGACTCCCCCAGCATTCCCAAAAGTAAGGAGGCTGGGGGGGTTAATAAAAAAAATTAAAATGTGTTAATGTGAGTGAGTGTGTGTGTGTTAGTGTGTGTGTTTGTTAGTGTGTGTGTCTGACTGTGTGAGTGTGTCTGCTAGTGTGTGTGTGTGTCTGCTAGTGAGTGTGTGTCTGTTAGTGTGAGTGTGTGTGTCAGTGAGTGTGTGTCTGACTGTTTGTGTGTGTTTGTGTGTATGTGTCTGTTAGTGTGTGTGTGTCTGTTAGTGTGAGTGTGTGTGTCAGTGAGTGTGTGTGTGTCTGCTAGTGAGTGTGTTTGCCTGTGAGTGTGTGTCTGTTAGTGAGTGTGTGTGTCTGCTAGTGAGTGAGTGAGTGTGTGTTAGTGTGAGTGTGTGTGTCAGTGAGTGTGTGTCTGACTGTTTGTGTGTCTGACTGTTTGTTTGTGTGTCTGTTAGTGTGTGTGTGTTTGTGTGTGTGTGTCTGTTAGTGTGTGTGTGTCTGTTAGTATGAGTGTGTTTGTCAGTGAGTGTGTGTGTCTGCTAGTGAGTGTGTTTGCCTGTGAGTGTGTGTCTGTTAGTGAGTGTGTGTGTGTTTCAGTGAGTGTGTGTCTGACTGACTGTTTGTGTGTGTGTCTGTTAGTGTGTGTTTGTGTGTGTGTGTCTGTTAGTGTGTGTGTGTGTCTGTTAGTGTGTGTGTGTCTGTTAGTATGAGTGTGTTTGTCAGTGAGTGTGTGTGTCTGCTAGTGAGTGTGTTTACCTGTGAGTGTGTGTCTGTTAGTGAGTGTGTGTGTGTCTGCTAGTGAGTGAGTGAGTGTGTGTGTCTGACTGTGTGTGTGTGTCTGTTAGTGTGAGTGTGTTTGCCTGTGAGTGTGTGTGTCAGTGAGTGTGTGTCTGTTAGTGAGTGTGTGTTTGTCTGTTAGTGTTTGTGTTTCTGTTAGCGAGTGTATGCGTATCTGTCAGTGAATGTGTGTATTTAGAAGGTGGGGTGGGGGGAAAGATTGGGTGGGGCTGGCACAGGGGGGTGAGGGGCGCCTAGGTTTTGTCCTGCCTAGGGCAGCACAAAACCAGGATACACTACTGTGTTTAGGGAGAATTTTAGGTGAAGGTGGCAAAAGGATATAAATGCTACTATGGAATCCAGAGAATGTACATCGGCAATTTGATATTCAGAGGTAAATTTGTTATAGACTGCAAAGTCTCTATTATATGATTTGGTGGTGTTGACGGAAAGGCCAGCGCTAGCCAGGAACCTGCTGTGCAACATTAAGCGGGTCAGTCCAGGATTAGGTCTTGGAACAAGGGGGTTGGCACTGGCATTTTGTCAGCCAACGGGTGGGCTTCGAAGAATCTCTGAAATTGAGAGCGAGACAAGGCATCAGCTGTTTGTGTGTCCAGGTATGTGGAAGCATGTGATATGGAAGTGTAAAGTGGCTGCGAGCCAGGTGAGTCGTCTGACTAACCTCATGATTACTAGGGAGGAAGATCTGCCTTTGTTAAGGATGTCGCTTGCAGTTTTGTTATCAGTAAAGCATTTTACTGCTTTACCTCCCCATAGGTGCCCCCAGACTTTGGCGGCCGCAACTATGGGCTAAATTTCAAACAAAGCTGAAGTTGTATGGAATGAGAGCAGATATGTGGTCTCCGGTGGCCAACTGTCTCTAAACCAGGCGTTGTTAAAGATAGCAGCAAACCCGGTGTGTGCTGCAGCATCTGTCAAGATGGTGGGAGAATGTTCTGAAACGGGGGGTATGAACATCGCTATACCGTTCCATTGGGACAGAAACCTGAGCCACATGCGGAGATCGGCTATGGCGTGTTCGTCTAATGTTATGGTACTGATGTCATTTGTGAGTTGGGGGAGAAGACTCAAGAGCCTTGAGATGAATGCTCTGCCCTGAGGTATTATCCTCATAGCAAAGTTCAGTGTACCTAGTAATGACTGTAGCTCGGTCTTGGTACACTTGTTATCCTTCAAAAAAGACTCTACTGATAGTGTGATTTTGACGACTTTCTCCCGCGGGAGGCTAGCTTGTAGGGCTACGGAATCTAGCTTGATTCCCAGAAAAAACAAGTTGGTGGTAGCTCCTACTGTTTTCTCCTGGGAGAGTGGTACCCCTAGTGTTGCAAAAAGCGCCCTTGTCTTGACAGTGCTGGTGGGTGTTGTATGTGGGGTTTCTAGAGTGAGAAAGTCGTCCAGGTAATGAATCACGGAAGGACAGTTGCATGCATTGAGAAGGAGCCAAGCTAGTGTGTCTGCAAACACGTCAAATAGTTTTGGACTGCTTTTTGATCCGAATGTCAGTCGTGTGGCAAAGTAGTATTTACCCCTCCACTTAATGCCGTGCACGTGCCATAGAGCTTGAAGGCGTTTGAGATGTCTGTTTTGCCTAGCCACGCACCTACCCCAGCTCTTAATATGGCATGTATAGCGTTATCCACCGTGGCATAGAATAACGAAAGCTCTGGAGAGGGGATTAGAGATTTGATACTCGGAGTAGACAATGAATGTGAAGCCAATAAAATCAATAATGAGCCTTAGTTTATTGGAGAATTTACCCGTGGCGATGGGGTTTGTGCGTCAACAGGAAAATGGGTGATTGAAAGGTCCCAGTATGAAGCCATTGTCTAGCTCTTTTTTGATCAGAGCATCGATGTTCTGGGGGTCAAGTAAAGCTGACTGTAGGTTGGGACATTCGAGGGTGCAAGTAGGGAGTGCAATTATACCAGTGTGTAAACCTATGGTAAAACCTTGTATCAAAAAGTCTACTATGGGAGGTGAAGGGTGTGCCTGGAGATAGTATGCCAGGTTGTCTATATTTACTTTGGTCAGTCAATGCTTAGGATACAGGCGGTTAGGGCACATGGTTTTAGTGTGTGCCCTAAAACAAATTGAGCAGACGTGCAGTAGCCTGCACAAGCTAAATCCGCAACTGCCAGAATTGAAATTGTTGCAGATTTGCACCTTTCCTAGAAATATGATAGGCCTGCCCAACTTGTCTTTGAGACCTCTATGTTCCGTGGCTGACGATCCAAAGGGGGTACGGCTGGTGGTGGGGAGATTTGGATCTGCCGGACACAAGTTGGTGGAGTGGGACCCAGAGGCGCATATGGCGCAAGATGGGGGCTTCAGACCCGCAAAGTGGCAACAGAATAGTTCAGTGTCAAGCCCACTCCAGTTCGTGTGTATATTAAATTGTGCTAGGGAAGCTGTAGCTTTGGCCGAAAAAGATTTATGGTAGTCGTAGTAAGCAAAACCACCATACTTGTGTCCCAGATCCACCAACTTGTGCATGTGTAAGTCCAATTCTTCCCTACGGTGAGGTGAGGTGGAGCAAATTACGTCATGGTATAGTCCAAAGGCAAGCACGAATTCAGGGATAGTTAGTTTGCGATTAAGTCTGGGGTCTCTGGCTTTTAGTACGACCGGCAGATCCCCATTATTGTACGACTTGTTCTCCATGACATCCTGGGAGGCAATTAGCAGGGAAACCAGGTTGATGTCCTTGCCCTCCAGGATGTCTTTACGAACGGTCAGGGGTAACAGGTGCTCAGGGGTGATTATGTGGGTGGAAGAGCCGGGAGTGGGGTCAAAAAAGATGGGATTACCGTTTGAAGGAGAGGGGGTGGGGAGGTCCATTACGGGGGAAGGCATAGGCGTCTGAGGATTCTCCAGTTTCTCTAATCTCACGCTGACGGTATTGATGGAAGTTAGTAGGGCCACCATCATGTTCTCCACTTCTGTGAAGTTGTCTGCGTTGGACAGCGGCACTGTGGCACAAGGCCTGGGAGAGCCGGAATTAAAAGTTAGGAGATGGTACAGCTCAGCTTTGTGGGAAAGTGGCAGGGAAAGGAATGCCTAGGCGTTTTAGCTCGCTGGTGAGTTTAGGGATAGTCCAGTAGCAGAGGGAGCCAGGGCTAGCTGTCTCTAGATGATCTGCAGAGAGAGTTCTTCTTCTTGATCCAGTATTTGTGACATTCTACAACAGACAAATGTAATAGTGAGTCATGGGCAGGGCTGAGTTGGCCTAAGCCAACTGGCTTATAGCTAGTAATCGTATATATCATGATGTATATATACTTGGTGGATTTACCTAGTCTTAGTAGGTGAGATAGGGCCTGCGTTAACATTAAGCGATTTCGAGAGGCTCTGCCCATGCGTTAAGAGGCGGCCTCTTGGTGACTGGGAGAGGTAGTCTCTTCTTTTTATATATATATATATATATATATATATACATATATATATAGAGAGAGAGAGGGGGCATGATTGGTGTGGCCCTGACCATCCCATAGAGAATGAAGTGAAGTGTTATCTACGTATTAGGTTAGAGGTTGAGTACATGAGGGGTGCATGCTTCGCAAGGTTAGTAGAATTAACTAATAAGGCCTAAAAGAACCTAACAATGTAGCCAGTTGGGTACTCTATCATAGCTGACAGGGGTAGGGGTAGGGTTTCCAGGGAAAGATGGGATGCGGCTTACTTGCCGTGGACTTAGGCTGACTTACCTAAGTCGTATGAACTGCTGCAAATTCAGAAGTGGGGGGGAGAGGGGTTGTCTGAACTTTAGGGAGTACCTAAGAGAATAGGGATGACATGGACGGACCTGGTCATATGCATACAGGGGCGACAACTAGTAAATAACAGGAAAGAAGGGTTTAAGACTGTTACTAAAAACGACGGCCCTCTGTGGTGAGGATAAAGATGTTTTAGTAACGTCTGGGCTACCCCCCAATGACGTAGTACAAGTCAATACCTGAGTTGTGGAACCGGGTGGATCCTGTTGCTGTGAGGATGGGAGGATAGTTTACGACGTAGTTGACACCTATTTTTTTTGGTATAGAGATATATTTATCAGAGGGGCTTGGCAGACAAGAGTATAATATGGAAGTACAAATGGCAGTGGTAGTTCACTAGAATATATAGCAGCATTGTGGTTGTGACATAACATGTAAAAGGATTTAGTGGACTTATGTTTATGATTCTGAGGGGTAGATATTCGGTATACTGACAGATTAATATAAGCCGTATAGGCTGCTTGACAATCAGTACGGAAATAATGGTAGACCTAGTTACGAGAAAATAAGTGATTTTAGTAAAAGTATGATGAGAAAGCTAGTGCCAACAGTACAAAAGACGTAATGATAATGACAGCTCTGTGAGGCTGCGTGACATAGATCTTATACATAAGTGCGTATACAATTCCTAAACAGTATTGGTCTGGGTGTGATGGGAGTAGAAGTATAACAGGAGTGCTTTCTCTATGCATAGATTTATACCGAATAAGGTAGTACCCGTATTTGACCATTAGGTGGCAGTGCGGTAGCTGTTTGAACTGAGCGTTCATCTAATTGACCGGTTGCCGAACCGGTGAGTTATCCAGACTGTGAAACAACGTTGGAACGAACGGTTTGTGCGGTAAGTTTACAGAATGAAGATGGGCTGACATGTATTTGCCTGTTCGGGCAGACTCACTGTTGGTTGATCGGGATGCCGGAGGAGCGACCCGGAAGTGACCAAAAAGTCGACCGTGTGACCTGCTGGGCTGTGGAGCCGGTAAGCGGTAGCTGCTGTAGCTGATGCCCGGGCTGGAGTGAAAATCCGTGTCAAGGTGGTGCTGGATGCCGGAGGGATGCTGATGAATCTATGGCTGGTCCAGTGAATGGGCGGGAACAGTAAGTAAATACCGGCGGGACCAGTCGTTTGGAGAGTTGGCGGCAGGGAATCAGGAATTCAGGTAAGGAACCGGAAGTCAATGTCCTAATGAACCCGGAGGCATCGGCCCTGTGGAGTAGGGGGCCTGTGCTTATATAGCCGGGTAACCCCTCCCACAATTTCAGGCTCCGCCTTCCAATATATATATGAGTCTAGCCAGCTCCTTGGTTTTGCACCCCTCCTTTTCACAGGTGCCTCATCTCAGGACCCTATTTAGCCTTGTACTGAAGAGAACTCGAGATGGAAGGATTTCCCCAAGTGACTAGCTCATTTAGTAGACAGTTAATTGTAAGAGTAGGACCTGCCAAAAATGGGGTACATTCACGTTGAGGCAGGCTTATGCAATGTATGATCATATAATGTAACTAAACCCCCATTATTTTTTGCCTAGATTAGGTGTTTTTAATAAAACTAGCAAAATCTGTCAGCACCAAAGTAGCTGTTTAGTAGATAAGGGAGTGCGCTGGATTTTCATTTTTATTATATATATATATATATATATATATATATATATAATACTAACGTAAAATGCTGTAATATATAGCCCATAAGAAGAAAGTTTTAACCACAGGTGATCAATGTTAATCGGTCAGCGTCCTCGCAATCCATGTGCGCATGCGTGTGCGTGCCATACCCAGAAGGAGTAGAAAGAGTGTAATAAACAAAAGAAATACCATGCGGAGAAGTAGGATTTGTAGAGATTAAATCATGCCAGTGATATGTGTGTGACATGCAAGGATAATTAAAAGTATTGACTAGAACCCGTATTGAGGGATAAGTGATAGATACATAGTATGACCCTGCATGATAAGACTGAATATAGGACATAATCAACAGTCCCTTAAAGAAAAATGACATGCAGAGACTAAAGAGATGAAAGTGCATTAACAGTATAAAGTGCTAAGTGCTGTGAGTGACAGAACCTATGTTGTAAAGTAATAGAATATATTGCAGAGAAGCCTGCTCAATTTTTTTTTTTTTTGCAGTACTAATAAAAATTAAATAGTGCAGCGAAGCATCTGAATTACCAGAAAAAATATGCAATGTAAACCATAACCAGTGGGCTTAATATACAAGAAGCAATATCAATATTCACAACACAACAATAACTGCATTAGACCCAATGAGAGAAAAATATAGTATTCATCTCAGATCATCCAAGAACCAAAAATGTTTTTTTTTTTTTTAAATATATCCCAGAAAAAAACAAAATGGACAAAGATCTTGACAAGATGATTTGATGTATCTTAATTTTATATAAAGGGGTGATATGTAATTAATTCATTTAAGCCATGCCGGGAAACCGTATTTAGTTTGTGAATCCAAAATGTCTCTTTCCTCAACAGCATGTTACCCCGATCTCCACCCAGTTGTGGTTATGGTATATGATCAATTGCCACAAATTTGAGTATTGTAAGAGAGAGTAGATCTTCCCCTTCCAGAGACACAGGCACAGCTACTGTAGACACCAATCCACCGAACCGGAGAATCATATGAATGCCGTAAACAGCCGAATAGGAAAAACCATACGAATAGGTTTACACTCCTAGCAGTCGAACTGGAACAGCATACAATAAATCCCCCCAAGAACGAGACAAAGCTCTGTGTTGAGGGTCAAGCAGTGAACAGACAGAGCTGTGGGTTTATTGTTCTTATATACACATTAGTACCACCCACAGGGTTTTGGAACACAACCAATAAACACGTACAATACACTCAGACACTCCCACACAAAATCCTCCCCTGATACAATTACCTTACACAATGGGTACAATTACCTTACACAAAGCAGAGAAATAAAATGTTTCCACATTATTCATAATTAGAAAAGTATGCATCACATTCACTTACATTTTCAGAATCAGCATACTCCAAATACAAACTTACGTCAAAATCATACAAATTGGTCCAGTGGGTCAAAAGATAGATCGAAGTCCTTTGTGACCAAATGAAGCATGACTTTTCTGCCCAAAACCAGTTCCACAGAGTCTTCTATCCTGGAGATAATTGGGAAGTAATCCAATTATCTCCTAGGACAGAGGCAAAACTCCATTGAACACATGGCAGCAAAAGACAATAAAACACATAAAAACAGATAACTGTGCAGCCATTGCACAAAACGGGTACATTCAACATATCCCCAGATAGCTCAGATCTGAGCGCACATTATTACTGAATGGCGCTCAGAGCACACACATACAGTTCAATTGCCATGGAGCCAAAGTCTTTCCCATAGTCTTTCATTATACGAATGGGCTCCATGGCATAGCTATCTGGGGTATCACCGCTCAAACAGGGCCAGCACCGAATGATCCGGCTTTCGTGTTTCCGCAGGGGAAAATCAAGCGTTTCAACATGGGGCCATAGTCTAAAGGCAGCAGGCGGCCAATGCACAGTGGCGAGTTTGGTCTCGTCACAAACAAGAACTGGCTTTACTGTAACCACGGACAGACATGGATCAGTTTAGGACATACAGTCACAGAATATTCCCACAATGCATTCTGGCTTCCTCCCCTCTGCCCTGGAGATAATTGAGAAGTAATTCAATTATCTCCCAGGACAAAGGCAAATCATCATTTTAAATGAAACATTAAAAACACATAAAAATAAGTAATTGTACAAATACCGAACATATTACATTCGTGCAACGTATCCCCAGATAGCCTGGATCTGAATGCATTTTCCTACCGAATAGCACTCAGATCCCATACGCACAGTTCAATCGCTTAGAGGTCATTCAGTATGCGATTAACTCCATGGGATGGCTATCTGGGTTAAGTCCATTTGTATGACCCAAATTCCCGAACGGACCGGTGTTCGCATGCCTCGACGAATGAGAAGGGCGGTCGGTAGTTTCAGTGGTGTTTGATAGAAAAAGTGTCAGTTTTTAGTTCCATAAAATCTGCGCCGAACACCGCTGGTCTTTAGTGTGTTTTAAAATGGCCGGCATATGAACGACGACCACCCTGCATTCTGTGATAATTAAGAGGTGTCTGCTGTTAACCACAACATTCTAATTGGGGCCAAGAGCTTAACCAGCAGCACACTTCTCTTCTGGGTGGCCGTTCGTTC